AGGGAGAGGCTTGAGTATCCTATAGGTAGTTATACCTGAACGGCCTTATCGGATTCCCGAGAAAGAAGGCAACTTTGTCTTGACCGTTTTGACTCCATTCTTTAGAAATTCGCCGAGTTGGCTGCACTTTGGGAATTCCAAAAATTTCTTTAATCGATACAAATTGTGACCCGGATCTTGCAGATATTTCGATTTCGGGCTCACATATTGTACTAGCCAGCCCATTTTAATTTTTCTTCCAAGTGCTAATCCTTTTAAGAAGACCCCTCTTCTCCTGTTTTCATCATTCTTTGTATTTAGGATAAAAATTGTAGTCAATTTTACATATTTAATAGTTCATTATTTCCATTAACAAATCATGGCCCCTACAAAACTATAATCAAAATCAATTTTATTTTGAACGAAGCAAATTATTTTAGACATATTAATTGTTAGTTTTTAAAATTTAGGATAATAACTTATTTTAAGTTGATCTATTATCATTATTTATCTCTACGTTTTATGATAATCAAATATCTAAAAGCAATTATTCTGAAACTTATATATATTTTACACATACGTCAATATAATTTTTTACAAAATGCTTAAACATGGCCTGCCATATGTACACTGAAGGAGCCATAGATCACTACATAGAGGTCACAAGCTTATTAATTCCCCAAACTACTAACATTTGATCAACCACACATATTACATATGAACATGTTACACACTATGTTACATGACATAGCAAGCATTGACATTGTCGTCATTGAACATGTTGCTGACCTTATCATCTCCGCGATGACTCACTTGGAGAGTTCCGTGCTTATCACCGGCACTGTAGCCATGTCTCCAATAGTTATAGCTTTCTTTGTACTCAGTGGTCATGTCTTTGAAATAGTCATTTGTCGAAGTGAAATACAAAGGCGGGTTGGGATAAGGCCAAAATTCAGCCCTCTTGCCTGCCCTCCTCACCGCTTTGAGCACCTTATTCCGATCAACGTATCCAATTACTGTTACTTTCTCCATCTCGAGGTCTACCTCTATTGAGTCTACACCTAAAGAACATTATCAAACGCAACAAAAAGAAATATATATTAGAGGAAATTAGGTGGGAAAAGTCACCATAAGTGAAATGTGTTCACTCTTTCATTTTTAACATAATTCATATTTTTATAGAGTTTTGATAACTATATGTATTGATCATTGTCTTCTCAATGTGCATGAACTTCAAACAATCCAAGTTTTCTTGTCAAAACTAGGTGAAGCGGACGAGAGTTTCAAACCCAGTTAGACACTTTTAATGTTCTTTGCCAACGTTTTCTAGATTTGCCTACAATCATTTTGCATGATTGAATCACCATATTTAATATTTTTTTCTATCTGCTAAATATATGAACATCAATGAAATAAATAGATGGTACCTCTAAGTTTTAGAATGGCATCCTTGACAACTCTCTCGCAGCCAGTGCAGCACATCCTGACTTTGAGGTCCACTGTCTGGGAATCAGTAAAACAGGTAGGGTTTAAATAAGTTATTTCCACAAACGTATATTCCCCTTTCTTCTTATTCCATTGTTCCTTTTGTTATCATATACCAAAAAAAACCCTTTTTAAACTTGGAGATTAAGAAAAGCATGTATAGTTGGTTGGGCCAAGAGAATCATCTATATAATTATATTCCTGAATTAGTGGAATGCCACCTTCGTGTTCTTCATAGAAAATATCTACAACACTACAAAGATAGGGTTTTTAATAAACCACTTCAATTAGGAAAATAAGTAAGTCTCAAAATGCTAAAGCTTCTTCCATATTATAGATCAAAATTTAACCAAGCTTAATTTAATTTGACGTGCCAAATTACAGGAAACTAAGGGTCCATTTGATTGCAAGGGTGGAAAATGGGTGGAAAGAAAATGAATTCCAGAAAAAGTAATTGCCTAGAAATTGTTTTATAGGGAATTGTTAATTAAGTGTGTTTGATTGGTATAATTTTTCACCCAACAATTTTTAAATTTTATGTTCGTTTGGCCTTTGATTGCATCAAAATTGTTCATTAAAGTGATAATTTTTTCCACACTTGGTTATAAAATTTATTTCCATTGCCAAAAGGTAAAAAAAAAAACGAAAAAAAAAATGTTTCTTAAAAAATTATTTTTTTAATCAAAGTTTAATGTTCGTGTGGCATTCGTTTGCATCAAAATTATCCATGAA